GATAAACTTTGGTCTGTCTTTTGTACAGCTGCCCATAATTCTACCAAATGAGGAAGGTCTCTACCGATCACTACCTCATGGGCTAATCTAGGTACTACACCCACTCAGTACTTTAAATCCCCATAGTGGGTTCCAATATTTACTTCCGCAGTGGGGTAATCTCTTTTATCACCATGAACACAGATAATGCCTATTTTCTGAACATGATCAGGTTTTACACAAGGTATTATAGACTCTGCTACCAACGTAACCATACTATCTGAATCAAGTAATGCTTTAGACATTTTTCCATTCACAGTTACACAGCATTTATGAGGGTTATTATCAGTCATTGTAAACAGCACCATAACAGTTGAACAAAAAAATTAATGTGCTCCCTCATCTTTGCCCATATTGCATTCCATAGGTTCATCCTTCAATGGACAGTCCTTAGCCAAATGACCAATCCTTTTTGCACTTGAAACATTTCACAGTATAATCTGACCAATTAGTTCCTCTCCTGTTAGACCTGAATGCCCCCTGGTTCCTGATGTATTGTCCCTGGTGTTTTGTGTATAGAGCTGCAGCTCTTCTGCTCCCCTTAAACCTTGAACAGTCTTACCAGATCTTGTAGAATCTTGGGGCTTAGGATTGCGGGGGTTTTCCTGTGAAGGGGGACGTAGCAGTTCTGCATCCACATAATCTTTCCACCAAGGTAACCAGCTGGTTAGCTGTATGGGGATGGCTTTGGCTGATGCAGGGCAGCTGGTAAACCACGCAAAAAATCGGTCCATTACTAAGTTTCCACAATGTGGCTAGCTGAATGGATTTCAGGTTGTAGCCATTTCCGTGCGAGGTGTATGAGGTCAAACATTTGGGAACGTGCGGCTTTGTCAGAAGAATATGACCATGAGTGGAACCTTTGGGCACATACTGCAGAGGTTACACCCAGTCGTGCCAAGATTTCAGCTTTCAATTTGCTGTAGTTACTTGCATCTGCTGGTTCTAGGTCATAGTATGCCTTCTGCGGCTCTCCACTTAGGAACGGTGCCAGCAGTGGTGTATTCTGGTTTTGTGCTGCCCTAGGCACAGTCAGACACACACATACACACTAACAGACACAAACTGTCAGACACACACACACACAGTCAGACACACACTAACTCACTAGCAGACACACTCACACAGTCAGACACACACACACACACACACACTAACAAACACACACACACACTCACATTAACACTTTTTTTTTTTTTTATTTACCCCCCCCTCCCCTCCTTACCTTTGGGAATGCTGGGGGGGTTCTCTGTCTCCCTGGTGGTCCAGTGGATGTGGGCAGCGCTGGGCTGGGTGGGCGGCTGGCGAGGGAGCTCTTCCTCTGATCTGTCCGCTCAGCTCCCTCGCGCGCCGCAGAGTGAGGCTGGGAGCCGGAAGATGACGTCATCAACCCGGCTCCCAGCCTCACTCTGCGGTGCGCGAGGGAGCTGAGCGGACAGCTCAGAGGAAGAGCTCCCTCGCCAGCCGCCCGCCCGCTTGGCATGTCTGTTAGCCGCAAGGCTAACAAGGCATTTGCCCTGGGCATTTGGGGGCAGCGTTTTTTGCGTCCCCTGAAAAATGCCGCCCAAGGCAAATGCCTCGTTTGCCTCGTGGCTAAAATGCCCCTGGGTGCCAGTATGCTTGCCCACTCATCAGCCGGCCATCCCTCCCTCTCAGCAGTGCGCTCAAATGCCAGAAGGTACGCCTCAACATCATCTGTCATTTTTCTGAAGGTAGTGGCTCGCCCGAATTACCTTTGGCCCCTGGTATCTTCCATCAGGGTCTCCATTCAGCTTTTCAGAGATAGCTTGGATTTCCTGTTGTAGTCCCTAGGTGGCCTTTAGCTGCTCCTCACGGGCTACTTTAAACATCTCTGCTTGTGTCACAGCAATCTGTTTCACCAAAGACTCCATGCACTCCATCTGTGTTTTGGCCAGGATTTTAGCACACTCTGCCTGGGCCAGCACCAGCTGCTGCAGGGCTGCACTGTTTTCTGCAGCTCTACTGTTAGCCTCCTGTTACACAGAGGTGGATTGGATCAGAGCCTTGATAACCTCCTCCATGTTGAGCTTTAAATTATTTCTACCCTCAGGCTTACGTGGCTGCCTGCATTCTCCACCATATGTAACAAACCACCTCTTTTACCGGTAGGATTTTGTCACAGATCTTACGGTAACCACAGCCTTCTACGGTAATCCTTGGCCATATGACCAAGAGAAGCTCGGCCAAGATACAGGAAGGGGAGGTAAGGAGAGAGGCAGTGCTGCAACCACGGTGTGGTTCACCTTATAGCAAGCGCCGGCACTGAGTGTGATATAGAGTATTACTGCGCTATTATCAGTGTGATATAGCGTATTACTGCGCTATTATATCAGCGTGATATAGAGTATTACTGCACTATTATATCAGTGTGTTATAGAGTATTACTGCGCTATTATAGCAGTCTGATAGAGTATTACTGCGCTATTATAGCAGTCTGATATAGAGTATTAGTGTGCTATTATATCAGTGTGTTCTAGAGTATTACTGCCTATTAAAGCAGTCTGATATAGAGTATTACTGCGCTATTATAGCAGTCTGATATAGAGTATTACTGCGCTATTATCAGTGTGATAGAGTATTACTGCGCTATTATATCAGTGTGATAGAGTATTAGTGTGCTATTATATCAGTGATATAGAGTGTTACTGCACTATATCAGCGTGATATACAGTATTACTGTGCTATTATATCAGTTTGATAGAGTATTACTTCGCTATTATATCAGTGTGATATAGTGTATTACTGCGCTATTATATCAGTGTGATATACAGTATTACTGCGCTATTATGAGTGTGATATAGAGTATTACTGCGCTATATCAGTGTGATAGTGTATTACTGCGCTATTATATCAGTGTGATATAGCGTATTACTGCGCTATTATATTAGCGTGATATAGTGTATTACTGCACTATTATATTATATTATATTATTATTATATATCATTATTATATATCAGTGTGTTATAGAGTAATACTGCGCTATTATAGCAGTCTGATATAGAGTATTACTGCGCTATTATAGCAGTCTGATATAGAGTATTACTGCGCTATTATATCAGTGTCATAGAGTATTAGTGCGCTATTATATCAGTGTGATAGAGTATTACTGCACTATTATATCAGTGTGTTATAGAGTATTACTGCGCTATATCAGTGTGATATACAGTATTACTGCGCTATTATCAGTGTGATAGAGTATTACTGCGCTATTATATCAGTGTGATATAGAGTTCTACTGCGCTATATCAGTGTGATATACAGTATTACTGCGCTATTATCAGTGTGATAGAGTATTACTGCGCTATTATATCAGTGTGATATAGCGTATTACTGCGCTATTATCAGTGTGTTATAGAGTATTACTGCGCTATTATATCAGTGTGATATAGAGTATTACTGCACTATTATATCAGTGTGTTATAGAGTATTACTGCGCTATTATATCAGTGTGATATAGAATATTACTGCGATATTATCAGTGTGATATAGCGTATTACTGCGCTATTATATCAGCGTCATATAGAGTACTACTGCACTATTATAGCAGTCTGATATAGAGTATTACTGCGCTATTATCAGTGTGATATAGTGTTACTGCGCTATATCAGCGTGATATACAGTATTACTGCGCTATTATCAGTGTGATAGAGTATTACTGCGCTATTATATCAGTGTGATATAGTGTATTACTGCACTATTATATCAGTGTGATATACAGTATTACTGCACTATATCAGTGTGATAGAGTATTACTGTGTTGTTGTATCAGCGTGATATAGAGTATTACTGTGCTATTGTATCAGTGTGATATACAGTATTACTGCGCTATTATATCAGTGTGATATACAGTATTACTGCATGATATAGAGTGTCACTGCGCTATTATATCAGTGTGATATAGAGTAGCCATTTTCTTTATTGACATGAACAATTTCAAAACAGAAATACCTGGGTTATTAAATAATTAATAATAAAAGCCCCTGGTCTTTTTGCCTCCAAGCAACACCTCAGTAAGAGCTAAAAATCTTCAATTGTAACTGTTTCATTAATGAGACAGATTGCTTCTTTTTTTTTTTTTCTGGATGGCAGGTATCTACATTTAAATAAGGCTTCATTTATTTGAGAGATTTGATATAGTGATTGCAATCAAATACTCTCTATAACCAAAACTATTCTCCTCTGGGTGTTGCCTTAAAGGAGAAAAGAAGGGACCGAAAAGCAGTAATGTCTCCCAAAAGAGATAAAAATAAAGTAACAAAGGCTAATATGGAAAAAATATATAAATTCTTTCTATTCACCTAAATCTCAAGAGCGATCATTAACTAAAAGATCATTTCTGGGAGATCGTAGAGAATCAGCTCCATTAATCCCAGAATCCTTCCCGGCAACTCCCCAATATACCACACAACAAACATTTAATGAAGCTTTGGAAGCTCTATACCTGAAATTAAGATCTGGAAGGTAATTCTAATATATTAAGGCTGGAAATAGCTAATATATCCTCTATACTGAAAAATCAGGCAGATACTCTCCAGAAAATTAAAACATCTAATGAAGATTTAACTTTAAAGTACAATCAATTGGGGAGGGGTGAGGCCTGACCATCATGGCGGTCTTCTACGAGCTCCCACACAAACATAGCAAAACAAGCGACCCATTAAGGCGACCCAAACAACAATCCCAAACACCCACTTGCCATCCACGTCAAGCAACCCGATCGGGACCGGCTGAACCGACGACCGACACTGCGGCCTGGTATACGGTGGGCGGGGGAGGCGGCCGCTCCCCCAACCCGGAGGTACCTCGAAGCTGCTCACGCACAAGCAAGCCCTGTTAGCCCCCCCCCCTCGGACCGGCGGGGGTGATCCCAGTCCACCCTGGGGTGGCGACCCCGAGAATAGGAATACCGCCTAAGAAAACAAATAGAGACCTACCTAAAATGGCGGACACAACATGTGCTGATAACGCAAGCGACTCCTCGCACGATATCGTCAAGCGAATACAAAGCCACTTCGATGCATTCTGGAGGGTAAGCTGCTTCAAACTGCTTCACCACTGCCTCCAACTCCTACAAAACGCACATTACTCACCTACTCCTATCAAGCGAACCGACAGCCGCCCAGCACCCACAACCACCCGAGCAAGGCACCAGTGCAAACCTGCCGTTCCATCCCGCCGCCGGCACACTGCACAACGACCCCACGCTCCCAAATCGCACCGCCAGACTAGCCACCAACCGCAGAGCTACTCACCGACACAGAGACGGCCTGATGGACCCAGACTCGTTACAGGGCTATGCTACTCGATGGCAGACAAGGCACAAGCGAGTGGAAGACATGGGAGCTGGAGATGCACAGACATGGGCACAACTCAAAGTTTCACCCACAGGTTCCCGAGCCTAGGACCGCTGTCCTCTTGATCCAGGACTTGACACACACGGTTTGAATCTGGCCCCCAGTACATAATCATTATGCCCTGCTTTGAGTTTCACGCTTGTTGTTTATTATATATTTCTTCACTGTGACTTCTAAATGGACTACCAGCAGAGGTGCCCCTTCACATGTTCCAGCACCTTAGACAAAATATTGCCTGTTTATTCCCATTAAGCCTGTCACCTATACACTCAGTTTTAGAGGCACCCTGATTCATCACTGATTTACAGCAACAAATTTATCGTACTGTTTACCACATATTAGAAATTAAGCGTGGACATATCAAAGAGAACCTTTACAATCGACAGCATTAATCAGACTGTCTTTAATTAGTTTGTTTAACTACTTTTTCCTAAAAAAAACTGTGCTTTCACTCTCATGCCATATACGTGAAACTTTGTGTTTTCAACGTTCTTGCATACGCCGTTGTGGCTTTGTAAGAATTTATGTTACCTCACGCACAATGAAAAATAAAGAATAAAAAAAAAAAAAGTGCAATAAATTGGACGAGAAGATTAAAGCATTAGACATAAAGGTTACCGATTTGGAAGACAGATCTCGCAAGAATAATATAAAATTGAGCAGAGTTCCTGAAACTGTTAACTATGATCAACTGGACCAATTTTTTAAATCTTTTTTTCAAAATCTTATCCCTGAAATGTCACTTGGAGAATTCCCATTTGAACGATATCACAGGCTACACAGACCAAAGAATTTGTCGGCAGATATACCTATCGTCTGTTTTTCTAACAATTATACTAAGAATTTAATTATGCAGTCGGCACAAAAAAAATGTTATAACAAATCCCCAATTTAAAGATATTAAGCTATATTCAGATCTATCTTTGACGACTCGGCAGGCAAGGAAAAAATTTGCCGTCCAGACCAGTATTTTGAGGAAACCTGGAATTAAATATAAATGGAGTTTCCCTACAGCATTATCGGTATTTTTTCAAAATCAGCAATTTCTTTTTAAAGAAGCCTCGGTTACCCAAGAAAAAAATCCAATCTTGGAATCTACAATAGATATCTCCCTAAGTTGATCATATTAACTACTACCCTCCTGGAACAAGACAATGACTATTCACTTGGCAAGATTGATGCCTTTGATGTTGAAGATTAACCTTGCATTTTTTCAAAACCAGCAAAAAGGTTTTTTGGGGGTTTTTTTTCAAAGAAGTCTCGGTTGCTTTAGGAAAAAATCCAATTTTGAAACCTATAATAGATACCTCACTAAGCTGACCAAACCAACCACTATTCACCTGGTTAGAAAGATGGTTAATAGCATGGACGCTTTTTTTTTTTTTTTTAAACTTGAAATTTATTTTTTTTTGACTGGGGGGGTGATGACGTGACATGTGTGCGCGTGCGCTCCCGTGGCTGAGAGACTCCGGTGCGAGGAGGAGAAGCAGCGCTCGGCGCCCGGCGCATAAGACCGGCGCAATGTTGGGATCTAACGCTACAGCTGCTTGACTTACTATTCTACAGAAGCAGTTGGTGGTATGCTGTCTGTCTGTTGTCTGCTGTTTTTCGAACACTGTCGAACTGCCTATGATTTATGACTCAAGATTTCGAACTTTGTTTAAACGCTTCAATGGAGTTCTGTTCGTTGAGGGGATATTAATTGAGAAGGATTGCTGGAAACTGGAATGAGAATCTAGCAAGAGGGTTGGAGGAAGGCTATTGCTTGTAATTAAATAGCAACGACGGTGGAAATCTGTGCTACATGCTGAATTTTATATCATGTTGTGAGAGAACCTTAATAGTAACTATTTTTATTACCGTGATTATTATTATTATTGCCATTTAAATAGCGCCAACGGATTCCGTAGCGCTTTACAATATTTTGAGAGGAGGGGTGTAACAATAAATAGGACAATTACAAGAAAACTTACAGGAACAATAGGTTGAAGAGGACCCTGCTCAAACGAGCTTACAGACTATTGGAGGTGGGGTATTTGAAACATTAGGACAATAAATATCAAGTAGGAGTGAAGCAGAGCTGGAGGAGAGAGCAAAGCACTGTCCCATAGGAGAGAGCAGGAGACAGGTATGTAAGGTAGAGATTACTCTGGGAGGCCATAAGCTTTCCTGAAGAGATGGGTTTTAAGGCCCTTCTTAAATGATTGAAGACTAGGGGAGAGTCTGATGGCAGTAGGCAAGCTATTCCATAGGAGAGGAGCCGCCCGCGAGAGGTCCTGCAAGCGCGAGTTGGCCGTACGGGTGCGAGCAGCGGTCAGGAGGTGGTCACGGGCAGAGCGGAGGGTACGTGGAGGGGCATATTTATGGATCAGTGAAGAGATATAAGCTGGGCTAGAACTGTTCAGTGCTTTAAATGTATGGGTTAGCACTTTGAATTGACTCCTATAGCATACAGGGAGCCAATGTAAGGACCGGCAGAGGGGTGAGGTGTGAGAGGACCGACTAGAGAGGAAAATCAGTCTAGCTGCAGCATTCATTACAGACTGTAGCGGGGCAATACGGCTTTTGGGGAGACCAATCAGGAGAGGGTTACAGTAATCCATGCGGGAAATTACTAGAGCATGGACAAGCTCCTTGGTAGCATCTTGCGTAAGAAAGGGGCGAATGCGGGCTATGTTTTTGAGTTGGAACCTACAGGACTTGGCAACAAACTGGATGTGAGACTCAAAGGTGAGACCAGAGTCAAGTATGATGCCAAGACAGCGCGCTTGCAGGGATGGACTTATGTGGATATCACTGACTTGAAGGGAGAGCGAGAGAGGAGGATCAGTATTAGGAGGAGGAAAGACAAGGAGTTCAGTTTTAGAGAGGTTAAGTTTCAGAAAGCGTGAAGACATCCAGTCAGAGATGGAAGAAAGGCAAGCAGTGACACGTTGCAGGACAGCAGGGGAGAGGTCCGGGGAGGAGAGGTATATCTGAGTGTCATCAGCGTACAGGTGGTAGTGGAATCCAAAAGAGGCAATCAGTTTACCAAGAGAGGCGGTATAAAGAGAAAATAGAAGGGGACCAAGGACAGACCCTTGGGGAACTCCAACCGAGACAGGACGAGTGGAGGAGGTATCCTTGGAAAAGGAGACACTGAATGAGCGTTGGGAGAGATAGGAGGAAAACCAAGAGAGGACCGAGTCACAGAGACCGAGCGATTGAAGAGTTTGAAGGAGGAGAGCATGATCAACGGTGTCAAAGGCAGCAGAGAGGTCAAGGAGAATTAATATGGAGTAATGACCTTTGGATTTAGCAGAGATTAGGTCATTAGTGATAGATTGTTGCAACTTCTTGAGAGAGAGCCATAATTGCAACAGTCTCAAATGGTGAGACAAATTGAGACAAATTGACAGATTTAAACTGTTTCTGGTTTTGTTTTTTTTTCTGGGGAAGGCAGAAATTTATATTTAAACAAGGCTCCAATTTGAGGGGCTTAAAATTGTGTTAGCAATTAAACTCTCTCTGGGCGTTGCCTCAAAGTAGATTGAACTTTTGAGATGATTATCAGTTGTGGGGACTGAAGACTGCAGAAACTTGGAATTTAAAACACAGTAGGAGAGTGAGCTGGAGGGAGGCAACTTTCTGTAATCAATTTGCAGTAATTTTTTATACTGTTTATTATATAACGATCCTTAACATTTCTCTGCTAAGAGAAATTTATAACTGTATTATTTTTCATCAGTGAAATTGAAAGAAGCACTGCGACTGCTCCAAAGAGGTGTTGCCTTAAAGGAGAATAGAAGGATAAGGAAAACATGTCTCCCAAAAGAGATAAGGATAAAGACAAAGCAACAACGGCTAATATGGATAAAAGTAAAAACATAAATTCCTTCTATTCACCTAAATCTCAAGAGCGATCACTAATTAAACGACCATCTTGGGAGATCGCAGAGATTCAGCCTCACTAAATCCAGAATCCTTCCCGGCAACTCTCCAATATACCAGCCAGCAAACTCTTAATGAAGCTTTGGAAGCTCTATATTTGAAATTAAAACATGATCTGGAAGACAATTCCAAGATATTAAGGCTGGAAATAGCCAACATATCCTCTATATTGCAAAATCAGGCAGACACTCTCCAAAAAATCCAATCATCTAATGAAGATTTAACTTTAAAATACAATCAATTGGATGAGAAGATTAAAGCATTAGAGACAAAGGTTACCGACTTGGAAGATAGATCTCGAAGGAATAATATAAAATTGAGAGGAGTGCCTGAATCTATTAATTATGATCAACTAGACCAATTTTTAAAATCCTTCTTTCAAAACTTAATGCCTGAGTTGTCACTTGGAGAATTCCCATTTGAGCGATACCATAGGCTACGCAGACCAAAGAACTTGTCGGCAGACATACCTAGGGATATTATTGTCTGCTTTTCTAACAATTATATTAAAAATTCAATTATGCAGTCGGCACAAAAAAAATTAGCAACGGATCCTCAATTTAAAGACATCAAGCTATATTCAGATCTATCTTTGATGACCAGGTTGGCAAGGAAGAAATTTGCCGCCCAGACTAGCATTTTGAGGAAGCATGGAATTAAATATAGATGGAGCTTCCCTACAGCATTATTGGTATCCTTCCAAAATCAACAATTTATTTTTAAAGATGTCTTGGCGGCCCAAGAAAAAATCCAATTTTGGAACTTACAGTAGTTATCCTCTTGAGTCGACCAAACAACGATCACCTACCTGGAATATGACACTGACTATTCATTATGTTTACCAAATTAATGATTACTTTTTTTGGAACTAGATAATGACTAAACCACTGCTATTACAAAAAGAAAGGGAAAGAAAAAAATATTTATTTATTTTTCTCCCTTTTATAGGAATTAATTGTGAAGACAGACTAGGTCAGTGAACGCCCAAGTTCAATGGGCAGAGTTATGTCTAAAGTTAAGAATGTTCGCTTGTGGATAAGGATATATGGTAACACTTACAAGTTATGAAAACAGTATAGAAAACCTTTTCCTTTTTCTTTTCCTTCCTATGAGGGGTTGGACACAAGCCATGGTT